TCTCCAGCCCCAGCTCTGGAACCGTCATCAAATGCTCGGCATCCCCTTATCTTCTGGCCTGTGCAAGGCACCACCCGGCTGGGTGGAAAGCCCCTATGCTTTTCTTTTCTTTCTTTTTTTTTTTTTGTCTTTTTCGTGACCGGTAAGGGGATCGCAACCCTTGGTGTGGTGTCGCCCGCAGTGCGTTCAACTAGTGAGCGCACCGGCCAGTCCTACATAGGATCCGAACCCGTGGCGGGAGCGCTGCTGTGCTCCCAGCACCGCACTCTCCCGAGTGTGCCACGGGCTCGGCCCCTACGCTTTTCTTTAAATGGCATTTAACGAGCTCTCATTTCCACATCTCTAATGTGGGGGTAAGAAGAGGGGCAGCATCTGTGGGCCGCCATGAGGTTTAGAGCAGCGGAAGCCAGTGTGTGTGGTCCCTACACAGGCACCAGCGAACAGGACACCTCTATAAAGACCCACCCTGTCCCTGCCTCCCTCGCCCACTCGCTGCTGATCACCACCCTTCGAGGGGGTCTCGAAGGGGAGAAGAGCAGACGGAGCTCCTGTGCCCCAGCCAGGAGTGGCCCTTGCAGGACACCTGGAATCCCGGCCCAGAAAAGTTTCCCTCCTGAGTCCAGAATGGCAAACTGTTGGTCAAGAGCGTCCTGGGCTCATAAAACATCTTCCAACCTGGAGTAAATAAGGGGGGAAGATCCAGAGAGTTCTGTGTAGCTGGGTTACTTGCACAGCAGCAGCACGACTGGCGTGGGGCTGTCCTAGCAGTGACAGCTTCGATTTGTGTTGAAGACACAGGGTGCCAGCTGCGGTGTGCAGCATGGACTGGGGAAGAGAGTGAGGGGCGACATTGTGTGGTTTCTGGCTTGTCCCCAGGAGAAGCGGGTTGGTTGGGGATATAAAGAGGTGGGAAGGGTCTGTTTCAGGCATGCTGACAGCTGTTCGTCCTCCATTGGGGACAGAGGGCACCTTGGAACTGTGCAGAACGTCCCTTCCCTGCATTTGCCAGAATGGGAGGGCCCAGCCCCCAGGGAAGATGAGGCCTGTCCCTGGGAAAGAGAAGAGGAGACACAGCGCTGCAGGTAGTGGGCCACAGTCCTCCCAGCCAAGCCCCGTCATTCAACCCCAGAGCCCTGCCTGGGCCTTGAAGCGAGGCTGGGACCGCGCAGCTGCTGCAGCCCTGCTGCAGACTTTGACCATAAGGGCAGGATGTTCCTAGTAGCAGAAAGTGACAGCAAAATCACGTGCCCAGGAGGGTAGGGGTAGCCAGGCTCCAGTCCAGGTGCTGCAAAACCTCACCAGGTGGCCTTGGGCAAGGCTGAAAAGGCCCCCCACAGCGGAGCAGCCAGCACCCTCTGGGTCTCCATGACTCACCAGGACCACAAGGATTGGCCACCAATGTGCACAGGTTCCCCATGGGGAAACTCTTGCCCGGGGCCTGGGCACAGGAACGCCCTTTAGTCGGGTGGGACCTTGAGGTATCTGGAGGTTCTGCCAGCTTGCCCCATGTGCCAGACATGCCAGAAAAGGGCAGGTGTGGGGAACACCCAAAAGGCCTTCACCTGCCAGCCAGGTAAGGGCTGCACCCTGGCTGGGCTGGACTTCCAAACAGCAGGCATGAAAAGAAAGCTTTGTGCATCTCTGCCTGTGCTCCAGGCGGCCCTGCTGGGTGGGGAGTGTGTGAGCATCTGCTTGAAGTGGGGGCGTGCCACAGGGATTGCGACCACAGACGCCCCGGGCAAAGCTCCGGGCCCTTCCTGCCTGCCTTCCTTTCCCAGTGGGGCATGGCCTTTGAAAACTTCTTTCCCAAACTCAGGGAGAGATCCCTGGGATCTCTCCCAACTCTGAGGCTTCACTCTCTTTTCTTTGGGCCATTCTGTGATAAAAGCAGAAAGCAGCAAGGGGAATGGATACATCCGAGGTGACAGGGAGGTCCCACAGCCAGTGAGGGAACCCAAATCCCCCACTCCCCAGCAACGCCTCAGTTTCTCAGACCTCTGATGGGCTGCATCAGGAACACCATCGTGTGTGCGCCTGTGTGAAACAGAAGGCGTTGTCCGAGGAGGCCCCAAGTCACCCACTTGGCTTCCCCCCTTTCTGGTGCCAGGACCAGCTCCACCCACAGCCCAGCCCAGCCTGACTGGCACTTGGTTCTGCCTCCCTTTCCGGCTCTGGCATCAAATCAAGTATGAGCACCAAGTCACTCACCGTGTGGCTCTCTGCCACCTGTGCCCCATGACAAGTTAACCTCCTTCCTCCCTTGCTCTCCCAATTCAGCCTCGGCTAGAGCAAGGCCACCAACAGTGGTCAGGGCCTGGGAGGCCTTCTGATGCCCAGCTGACGCACCCAGTGGCCCTCGGCTTCTGTGAGCTCACTCAGGGCCACTGGGAGGAAAAGCCCAGCACAGGGGTAAGGACAGGCCCTTGGTCTCAGACAAGACACAGCTCAAATCTGGTGCAGACAGGGGCCCTGCTGGCCCCCACACCCAGTGCTGCCTGCCCACAGAGGTGCCCCTGTTGCCAGGGTGCCCATTGATGTCAGAGGCTGTTCACTGGCCCCGAGCTGGCCACGTCCATGGGGAGCACCACGCAGGGTGTCAGTCCCCACGCAGACCTCCATACAGCAAGGCCACTGCAGGCCCGTCCAGCACACCAGGCCCGCTCCAGGCGAGTCCGTGCACCGAGTGTGCCATCTGGAGGGAGAAGGGGGCAGTGCAGGGACGAGGCAGCCTCCCGCCCACTGTGCCCTCTGTGACATCTTCTAGCAGCCACAACAACAAAGTTTAAAATAAACAGGTGGAATGGACATGAAATACCAGCATTCCACATGCAGTCAAAATAAAAGGTTACTGATGAGCTCTTTACAATCTTTCTCCCCACTCGGTCTCTGAAACCCAGTGCATATTTACACTTCTGCACGTTTGGACGAGCCCCACACTCCAAGCGGCTCTAGAGAGTCCCCACTGGCTGAGAGTTGTCCCATCCCCATCACCCGCATGTACGGACACACAAAACCTGACTTCCTTTTCTGCCCGTGTGGCCTCCCCCTCAGGTGACTCAGTCCCTACCTCACCCAAGCTGAGGCTCTTGTCCCTTGACCCTGGCATGTTAACAAAGGCAGATGTGCATCCTTACAAACAAATTAAAAGATCTGAAATTTTAAGTACCTTCAAGGGCAGGCCAAGCCCATCCCTCCAACCAAAGCACCATGACTCTGCACCTGGAAGCTAGATGGGTGTCGCAACAGGAGCGGTGGCTCTGCCATCGCCACCCCGGCCACTTGCTGAGGGCTTGCTGTGTGCCAGGCCCTAAACTGAGCACTTCACATAGCATCTCGTCAGGCGTTTGAAATGAGGAAGGATGGTCACGGAAGGATGCCATGAACTAGTGTTCAAGAAAAAAGCACGTTGCAAAATAGAATAATTCCATTTTTGTAAAAAGAAAAAGCCCACACATTAGCGGTATATTATTGACACAAAGAAGGCAGTTGGGAAAGATCTGGCAAACCGCCGATGGCGTTTACTCTCCAGGAGGCGGAGTTGTGGGGATGTCCACCTTACATTTTTCTTTAAATGACACGCAGGTAACTGGAATTGAAACGGGTCAACCCTGGGTGGCACAGGGTGGGTGGAGCTTCCCACATGCCCACCTGCTCATTCATGGGCTTCCCGACTGTGTGTGGGGCCTTCTTTAGAGACCCAGCAGCCTAAAGGCAGGGTCAGGGCCTGCAGCAAGGCTGGTGCAGTCTCAGTGTATGGGGCACCTGGCTTAGCTGGCCAGAAAGACCCCTCTGAGGCCACATTTGGGACAGACATGTTTTTCTCCCAAGAAACCCGAAAAAGCCCTGTGCACAAAACTTTACAGTTCTCAGTCTTGAGCTTCTGCTAAGAAACACCAGTATGGGGCACCTGGCTTAGCTGGCCAGAAAGACCCCTCTGAGGCCACATTTGGGACAGACATGTTTTTCTCCCAAGAAACCAGAAAAAGCCCTGTGCACAAAACTTTACAGTTCTCAGTCTTGAGCTTCTGCTAAGAAACACCACTGTGCTCAAACAGGGCGGGGTCACTCATAGGCCCATCCGTCAGTAACGCACACCAAGCACGCGCTAGGGGCTGGGCTGGGCTCCCCAGAGTCAACACCGGGCAGCACCGTGCAGCAGAGCGACGGGCCCTGCGCGGCCACTGCAGGGCACCGAGTTCTGCTGGGCAGTGAGGTGCCCCTCGCCTGAGAGAAACAGCAGGACCAGGATCTACAACTTGGAGGAAAGGCAGGATTGAGCACCTCAGGGTCCCAGGCTGGCCTCCTGGAAAGAATGATTCTGCGGCTTGTGAGTGGAGTCTCCCTCACTCCCTTAGGCAAGACATAACTGAGGGAGCCAGGAAACCCTCCTTCTAGGGCCTGGGGAAGAAAGAATGTCCATATTTCAGGTACATTAGGGGCTTCACTGGGGCCTCCAAGCCTGGGAGGGTCCAGGAGGTGGAGGGAAGGGACTGGGCTTCTTGACCCTGGACCCCAGGGGTGCTGAGACTTCTTTGCTCTCCTGTGCTCACCTGTGGGTCCCTCACACAGGAGAGAGACCTAGAGTGAACATCAGGCCCTGTAATCCATCTTCTCTGATCCTGAATAAGCAGATCACTCAGGACAAATGTAACCGACCTACCTCCCCCCGCAAATCCAAGTACCCTTGGTAACCATGTTTTATCCAAGTCTCTCCAGCATCCACAAAACTGTACTTTCTCCTCGTGTCCACAATGGAAAACCACCAGAATAAGACACGACCACACTCTGATGTCTGAGACGCTCTCAACAGCCAAGTGAGCCAGAGCCTGGTTACCGCAGGGCACCTCCACATGCTCAGAAGAGCCCGACACCTGCCAGGTGCCCATCAGTGACCTGCTTGAGACCATGAGGACTTCTGACCCAGCAGAAAAAAGAAGCGTCTTCTTGAGATGGAGGTTCAGTTACAAAGCACAGATGACTAACCATCCGCCATCTCTAGGTTAGCTGTCACTCTCAGAACTGAGAAGGTGGAGCAAAAGAGAGGGGAGGGGCCAGAGGGGCTGAGTGGCCACAACCCTAACCTCCGCCGCAGCAAAGGAGGTGACCCACATTCGCCCAACTCCTCGGTGTGTGGCCGCCCAGGACACACAGAGCCTTGGCTCTGTTCAAATTCATTTCAAAACTTGGACCCTGTGTCAGAAGCCTCCCTTCCACTTTCTGCTACAAAAGATCAGCCAGACCTCCCTTAGAGGTCAGTTACAGACAGGATAGTGAATGCCCACACATCGTTCTTCTATCTGGAAGGGACAGCCCCTTTATTTTGGAAAACAAAACAAATGAGGACGCGGCCCCCCAGGAAGGACCCAGCCGCGGGCACTGACCTGAACTTCCCGGTCCGCACCTGCAGCGCTCGCATCCCACACCGCTGGGCACCGCCGACGTCAACCACGATGTCGTCCCCAATCATGATGGCCTGTCACAGCAGTGAAATATGCTCAGAAGTGATGTCAGAAGAATTTTATTCCTGTGCTCCTTCATCTTTTTTGACATAATAAACTGCTTGGTTTGATGTTTAAAACCACCATTATACAAATTAAACAAGATAATATTGTCATTGTATTGATTAAAAGTCAACCCACCTTGAATATATCTCACACTGCCCCCAGGGGCCGTGGCTCTGAACGGTGTACATTTGCGCAATTTGAAATCAATCAGCAGACGTCAAAGTGATTTGGCGCCCCAAGGACGTGTGGGGGTGCTGCTGCTGTCTTGCCTTTGATTGAACACAGGCTGAATTTTACCTGATGCTAAATACTCTGTAACCAGGTTATTTGCTGACCCTTGGTCCTGTGAAAACTAATTAAATCTCTAGCAACTCTTTGTAGTCCACAGTTTTAAAGGTTTTGCTTTCATTAGTGAAGGTACTAACTGTAAACAATGAAATAATATATAAACAAAAATACACACACACACACACACACACACACACACAGAGGAAATGCTGGCAGCCTGGATATCACTTCAAAAAGCAGCTTCTGGGATGTACTCTCCCACCTGACACAAGTAGAAAAGCAGACAAACCCACACACACAGAGGAAATGCTGGCAGCCTGGATATCATTTCAAAAAGCAGCTTCTGGGATGTACTCTCCCACCTGACACAAGTAGAAAAGCAGACAAACCCTATGAAACAACAGTTTTCAAGACAGTGGCCATCAAGCAATGAAGGACAATGACTTCTGAGACCCAGGAAACAAATGCGGTGGGCCTTGTGACAGCCCCCAGCTTACTGTCTTCAGAGTTTGCAGACTGTGGGTGCAGAGAGGCTGCTACGGACTGAACTGTGTCTCCCCAAATTCATATGTTGAAGCTTTAACCCCCAATTGGACTGTCTTTGGAGACAGGGCCTTTATGGGGTAATTAGGATTAAATGAGGTCACAAGGGTGGGGCCCTGATCCGACAGGATGGGTGTCCCTATAAGAAGAGGAAGAGACACCAGACATCCTCTCTCTTTACACAAGCACAGAGGGAAGGTCATGTGAGGACACAGAGAGAAGGCAGCCGTCGACAAGCCAGAAAGAGCCAGAAAGAAAGTCCTCACCAGAAACTGAATTTGCCAGCACCTTCACCTAAGACTTCTAGCATCCAGAACCGTGAAAAAATAAATGTCTGTTGTTTAAGGCACCCAGTCTGAGGTATTTTGTTGTGACAGTCTGAGCTGACTAATACAGACTAATACAGAAGCCAGTAGATTCCCTGAACTGAGGAGTCAGAGCTAGGATTCCGGGGAGACTAAGGCAGCAAGAGTTCATGGGGCAGAGTGTCAGCAAGGAGAGGGCCGCACAGAAAGAGAACTGTGTGATATGCAGAGGGTCCCCTCGAGTATTCAGCAGACTCCTGACCATGCACATGGGTGTGTGAGACTCCCCGAGACCTGGGAAAGAGCCACATCAAAAAAAATTAGAGAAAACAGTGTCTGGACCTCCTCACACAGGATTGAACCTGTTCTCACCAACTAGACTGGAAAATCTCATAATTCACAGGGCATTGGGTCACAGTCTCAAAAGCATCTTGTTTCAATGGTGGGGAAAAATAGTTCTAGACTAACCCCTGCTCTGGTGCTGCCTCCATAATCTTAAAGGTGGTATCTAGAAGTCAAACTGTTTCCAAATAACTTAACTGCACCCCAGAACAAAGCTCAAAAATATGTATGACCATACAAAAATATCCAGCATCTAAAAAGAAGGTAAAATTCACAATGTCTGGCATCCAATAAAGTTATCAGACATGCAAAAAAGGGAAATATTACCTAATGAGGAGAAATATAAATCAATCAAAACTGACCCAGAACTGACCCAGATGTGACAATTGGCAGAAAGGAGCACCAGTTCTTGCAACTGTATTCAATATGTTCCAAAAGTTAAGTAGAGAAATGGAAAATAAAAGAAAAAGACCCAAATCAAGCTTCTAGAGATGAAAATTACAATGTAGGGATCTACAGACAGTGGGCGAGATTAATGCCAGATTAGGCACTGCAGAGGAAAAGATTAATGAACTTGAAAACATTGTAACAGAAACTACCAAAACGACACACAGAGAGAAAATAATAATAATAAAAAAAAAAGAACAGACCATCAGTGAGCTATGGCACAACTTCAAGGAGCCTAATATATGTGTAATCGGAGTCCCTGAAAGCAAGATGAGAAAGGAGGAGACAGAAACAAATTTGAAGAAATAATGGCTGAAAAATTCCCAAACTCAACAAAAATGATAGATCCACAGATCCAAGATCCCAATGAGCACCAAGCACAAGGAACATGAAGAAAACCACACCTGGGTACATCAGAATCAAATTGCTCAAAACCATCGACAAGGAGAAAATCTTGCGAACAGCCAGAGGGGGAAAAAAGACATGTTATACACAGAGAAACAAAGGCACAGATTTTTTTGTTGGAAACAATGCAAGTGAGAAGACTGTGGGGCACCATCTTTAATGCACCCAACGAAAACAAACTGCCCATCTGGAACTCCGTATCCGGTAAAAACATCTTTCATAAACAAAGGTGAAATAAAGATATTTCAGACATCCAAAGTGCAAGTGAGAAGACTGTGGGGCACCATCTTTAATGCACCCAACGAAAACAAACTGCCCATCTGGAACTCTGTATCCGGTAAAAACATCTTTCATAAACAAAGGTGAAATAAAGATATTTCAGACATCCAAAGCTGAAAGGATTCATCACCAACAGATCCACCCTACAAGAAATGTAAAAGTCCTTCAGGCAAAAGGAAAATGACACTGGATGGACACACTAGACAACCCACACAAAGGAACAGAGGGCACCAGAAATGGTAACCCGTGGGCACACGCTGACCTTTCTGCCTACTCACCGCCCTTCTTCTGCTGGCTAACTCCTCCCAGCCTTTCAGGACTCAGCTCAGGTGACCTCCACCTTTCCTCCACCCCCAGGCTGGGGTGCGTGGCCCTCCCAAGGCACTCTGGGCCCTCCGCCAGGTACTGCATGAATAAGGCTGCATTATTAGGGGCTACTCACTCACCTCACCCCTCCAGAAGTGGGTGAGCCCCTTGAGGGCAAGGAGTCTGGGCTGTCAATGGGCACTTAGTTATGACCAACAAACAAATGCTTACTGAGCAGATCGGTGTTCTGAATTAAGGCATGGATCTCTGTGTCCGGGGACACTCATGAGGCACAACCAACTAGACTTCTTAAGATCACCAGTGAAGGCAGGGGTACCATAGTCCATGTCAGTGCTGCAGAAATGAGTCATTTGTGGGTCTCCTTTTGCCATATAAACATGTATTATTAATATTATTCCTTAAATCAATTCATAGTTTTTTATATAAATACATGTATTTTTAAAGACAAAATAGCACCTCTCTCACTCCCCTATCACAAGAATCTGATTAAAAGTTTCAAAATATTTTCAGGGTAAGATTCTGCTAGTGGAAGGTCTGCTGGCACCTTAGACATGTAACATGTTACAGATCTGCTGTTAGGACCAATCAGAAATCTCCTTGGTCAAGGGCCAGACGGACCTGAGAAACCAGCCCCCTGAGACAGGGTGGGCATCCTGATGTTGGTGGGGACAGATGCTGTGAAACTGACAGCTGCTCCAAAAGTTGTCTCCCAAATGCTAGGTAAGGCTAACCAGTGAATAAATACACAAACCAAAATCAAGAAAAAACAATGACCATAAAGTATTCACAAGCCAGGGGAGTCTTACTGATTGTGGGCCCATCGATGTGAACGCTGCCTGTGAGGACAGGGGTCTAGGTGGAATTTGCTCTCCATGCAGGGGGAAGGGGGACCACGGGAAGGGAAGCAGGCCCCATGTGACCAGCAGAAAGGACAGACTGAGCTCAAGTCTCAGACGAAGACACAGCAGCTAGGCTGGGATCCCAGCTCTGCAGTTTGCTAGCAGTATGACCTTGGGCAAGCTTCTGCTTCAATCTGTAAAAGAGGTATAATTGGTGTGGTGTTTAAATGCAATCATATAAGTTAAGCATCTAGCACAGTGCCTGGCCATAATAAGTTATCTAAACATGTTAAAAAGGAAAAATAAGTATTAGGAAATGTTTTCTGGAAAAAACTAATCTAACCATGCTGGAGGACAGTCCACACACTTTACAACTGGTAGTGCTTTCTTTCCAGTTACTCAGCACCTTTGTACTGAGCCCTTAGTGGGCCAGGTGCTGGGCGAGGCAGTGTGAGTCAGGCAGACGCAGCCCCTGCCCTTGTGGAGCTCACAGTCAAGTACTAAAGACAGACATTAATCAGCTAATTTCACAGACACATAATCAAGACCTGAGATAAAGCACAGGAGGCTGTGTGGCCTGACCTAGTGGGCTTGGTGGTGGTCAGGGAAGGCTTCCTGGAGGAGGCAAGGTTTTGAGCTTTGAGCTGAAGGGCTAGAGGGGGTCAACCAGGTTGGGGGTGGAGGGGAACATTCCCAGCAGGGGGCACCCCATGTGTGCTAACTAGTCATCTGCCCACCATCCCTCAGGGTAGGGAGAGCAACGAATTCCAATAAGCACAGGCAGGTCAGCCGAAGCAACTGTCCCTGGGCATTTCCCAAACAGGCCTTCAAATAACCAGGGGGATCATAAGGAGCTTTGGAAAAGGGCAAAGACAGCTGGTGCTGCCCCAGCAGCCGGGGAGGCCAGTTCTAACAATCAGCACAGGCTCACCACTGTAATCATATTCAAGCGGGGGCCTGAGGAGCCCATGTCAGAGGAGCCACTGCGATGTGGCACCAGGAGATGACCGATGACCACCAGTGCTGACGAGTCTGCCAACTGTGAGAAGCCAAAAGCACACCACAAACCACAGGGCACTTGAACTGGAACTGTGTTTCTTCCTAATGAATATTCTACAGTTCATACTTTTCACTGATTTTCTCTGATCTTTCCTTCATCTACTTCCATGTTTCCCAAAGTGTGTTACACATACT